TTTTTTGTACCGGGGATCGAACTCGAGTCCTTGAGCTTGCGAGGCAGGCGGCAGAACTGCTGAGCTAAATCCCTGGCCCTAAGTTTTTATTTCTTAAAAAGCCACCACCTCCTGTTGCACACTACTGTCTAGTAACATTGGGCGCTTTTTGTTTGTTTGTTTGTTTGTTTTCAAACCTCAAAACAGTTCCTGCCTTATGGGCCTTTGCATTTGCAGTTCCCTATCTCTGCAGCACTCCTGCAAGGCTTCTAGTCAACATTCTTCTCACATACGGTAAAATGTTGCACTCATGAGAACGAGGTTCTTGTCGGTTTCGTCTCGTATTCCCACTGCTCAGCACATGACAAAGTGACTGAACAAATCAATAAACGAAGTCAACCACTTCACCCGCAGGCCCTGACCACAGTACTGATTCTCTGATCAATTTCCGTCCTTGAAAGCTAACCTCGGGGACAGGAGAGGCGTCGCCGAGTTCACGGAGCCACGAGTGCAGTCAAGGTCGAGGCCCACTGAACCCTCGCCTCCCAGGCGCGTGGTCTTCCTGGCAGAGAACCCCAAGGCTCTCTAAGCGCTCAGCCTCCCCAGGACCCCTAGAGCCTCGCCTCACCTCCCACACAGGCAAGCGCTGCCTTGAAGGCGCAGCTTTCCATAGCTTTCTCGATCATCTTCTGTTCCTCACTCTTGGCCGGACTCGGGATCCCGCCCAGGCTCCCAGGCTCCAGGAGCCGGGGTTGGCGCTTGTCGCCTACCAGGTATTGCAGAAGAAGGCTGTACTGCAGCTGGGCTTCTGTGGAACTAGCAGCCTCAGGCGCAGAGACCCCAGTTTTGGAGGAAGCCGCAGCCACCATGACTGCTCAAGAACCCCTCGCGCCGTCCTTCCCTCAGCAGATTCCACAAACTTCCCGAGCTTCCCGTTGTAACCCCTGACAGGCCAGCCACCAAGTCGCAACGGCAGATTCGCCACAATGAGGAAGTTGTGGAAGCAAAAGTCGGCCTACTCTCCCCTGGCGAAAGAGCTATCATGTTTCCAAAAAGCCTCTTGTGAATACTGAATCAGGTTTATGAGCCATTCCCAGGTTCCCCACAAACAAACAAGATTCAGATTCAGATTGCCGGGATTTATAGGTCTAACTCGGACGTCAAACTACATTTCCCAGGAAGCCGTGCGCGGGTTCTCCTGGGGCAGCCTAGCCTGAAGCCCTTTGGGGTTCTTGGGAGGCAGTGGCGCGCCCGCGAGGCTGCAGTTCGCCGGGGAGCTTACCCTTGCCTTCGCGACTGATCTTTGGAGGGTTCCCACTTTTCTTTTTTAGACAGGAGTCTCACTGCGTTGTCAAGGCTGGTCTCCAGCTCGTGAATTCTCCCGCCTCAGCCTACCAGCGTGGGCCACCACACCCGGCTTAATTGGAATGTGGTTGAAGGTGTTGTGAGATGGAAATGATGGTAGGTGCTTTGTAAGACAAACGTGAAAGCATGACATAAATGTGTAACATAAATATTTTGTTCAATAATCAAGCTTTTTGAGGGGAAAAGGGGCCCAACGAATGAGTGAAGCTAGCCAAGCGTCAGAAATACCAAGAACTGTAACTAGAAAGTGAAGGCAACCTGAGTCCAACGTGCAAGTACTGACTCTAACCAGTTGTTGCGGATGGGACTCGTGATGTGGACCGTTATTAGCACAAAAAGTCTAGTTTAGGTTAGGTTGAATCCATGCAAGTGTTTACCACCTTGCAAATTCAATACCTAAAGAGAAAACTGAGGTGGTACTAAATATGAACCCAGAAAAAAATGCTGTAGTTTTTATGGTACTAAAATAGATCCCAAACCATGATATTGATTCAGACTAGCATTTTATTTTATTTTGCAGTGGTGGGGTTGGAACTCCGTGCTTTGTGCATGCTAGGCAAGCATTCTACAACTGAGCTATATCATCAGCCCCAGACTAGCAATTTATTTGGGTATCTCAGCTAAGAGGAACGTGCATGAAAACAGAAGGTGTTAGCAGGGCATGATGGCACATGCCCTATATCTCAGCACTGAGGAGGCTGATGCAGGAGAATCGTGACTTCAAGGCAGCCTTGACTACAAAAGTAAGACTCTGGCTCAAAAAACAAAGTGGTGAGAGTAGTCAGTCAACAGAGATAGAAATGTTGCTTTGGTGTCCAAAGTTCTCTATGTTTCCAAGCATAAAGGGAATCTGATTCCTCTTGCTCCTGCTCCCACCAGGCCACCCAATGAGCCATTCTGAGATTCCCAGCAACTTCTCAGTTGTCAGATCTCACTCAGACCTCATTTTGCTAGACTTCTCATCTGCGTGTGACATGGTGACCCCTCCCTCCTTTGAAGTTTCTTCACAATTCTAATGGAGCCCCTCCTGCTTTTGTTACAGCCTCTCAGATTTCTCTGTAGGTACCTCTGCCTGACCCTCTCCTGCTGGTCCTCTCAGGGCTTTATCCTTTAGTCCAGTGGTGGTGAACCTATGGAACACATGGTACAGTGAGCTGTTTGTTATTGAACGCTCTAAAAGGTTCGCCATCACTACTCTAGTCCCTTCTTGTGCAGCTCATTCTACCTGTGGATTCTGTTTGGGGTTTCAACTACTCTTGTGTCATCTACTACTACCACAGAAGCATCTGTGATTCTCAGATTGGTATCCCCAGCTTAGCTTTTCTTATAGACACAAGAACCAAACATTTTAGAAAGGCACTTCTAACTCAACACACACTGCCATCCACCCTGTCCAGATGAATGAGGGCCCATGACTGATTTATGCTAAACTCTTTTTTTTTTTTTTTTTTTTTTTTTGTACCAGGGATCGAACTTGGGTCCTTGCACTTTCGGGGCAGGCGGCGGAACCACTGAGCTAATCCCCAGCCCTATGCTAAAATCTTAAGAGCCAAAGTTGGGTCTGAGAGAAGTTGAAACAGGCAAGGAGGCCTTGGGAAGCAAAGAATGAACTAAAGACCCAATCCATGGAACCAGTTAGAGTGCAATAATCAAACACTTAAGGATCTGCCTCAGAGTTCGGGGAGAATCAAGTCCTTAGGTGGATAATTCCCTGTGCAAAGGTACATGATGAGGGAGGCTTTTATAGACATCCTTGGCCCAGATCATAGATGGGGAGGGAATAGTTAGATATTGATCTTCTGTCTCCCTCCCCCATCTCCTTCCAAAGGTAGAATAGGTTTCATCTGATGAAGAATTAAACCCTTTCAAGTACACTCTGAAAGTGAGGGGTGGTTTCCCATGTCTGTTTCCCTGTGCTGAACCTGGGCCGGCAGTGTAGGGACCTTATCTGGCCATGGCATCCTTGGGAGTCTGGCAACTCTCATATTACAGCTTGGTTCTCCACCCCCAGCTCTCTGTTCTGGCCACAGGATACAGGGTTAGAAGAGCATCTCAGTAAATCAGAGAGAACAGATGACAATTAAAGGTGAGTTGGATTCAGCCAAGGAAGGGCTGTAGAAGAGTCAGACATCTCTGCATTGCTGACCCATCTCTCAAAGGACTCAATATAGTGAAACAGATAGATAGGATCTGGAGGAGGGACTAATTATGTCTCATTCAAGGTGTCCATGAGATCCCAGCTGATCCGTAGTTCTCTCAGGTGTTGTCTGTCTGCCCTACCAAGAAGTAAAAGAAGCAGCACAAGTTGGGATGGAATAAAGAAGTTAAATTTGTAAGTGCAGTGTGTTGCATTGCGGATTTGAGTTATATGTGACTGTTGATAATAAGAAGTTTCCATAGTCCCGTTGCCAATAGGAGATACGATCCAACAGAAACTGAGTAGCCAGCCAGGTGTGGTGGCACATGTCTTTGATCCCAGCACTCTAGAAGGCTGAGGCAGGAGAGTCAAAAGTTCAAGCCCAGCCTGGGCAACTCAGCAACTTAGTGAGATTGTCTCAAAAAAAAAAAAAATTGAAGCACTGGAGATGTAGCTCAGTGCAAAGGCCCAGTGTTCAATCCCTAGTACCAACAGAGGGAGGAGAAGAGAGAAGGAAAGAGAGGCAGAAAGAATCTGAGTAGCTAACTGATTTATTGCAGACAGTATTGGACAAGTGACTTTGTATTTAAAGGGATTTTATCAATATCCTCCAAGACCAGAGGATAACTAGGAGCTAAGGATGAGCATGTGATGGCTAAGAAACTCATGGAAAGAGAATCTAATAACAAGAGGCTGTAGCTGGGCAAGAGGAGGAGTGACAGTCCTTGGAGAAGGCAACTATGTCCACCATTGTCACCAGGACAGCTTCATGCTCTCATGAGGAGTGGAGGTCAGTGGTAAAATCCAAGGATATTTAGCAGTCAAGAGTTGGTCTAAAGTTATTTATATCTATCATATCTGTTTGATAGAAATACCAAAAGGCCAGGGATTTAGCTCAGTGGTTTGGCCGCCTGCTGCGCAAGCGGAAGGACCTGAGTTTGATCCCTGGTACCCCCCCCCCCAAAATAGAAATAGCATATAACAAGGTGCTGCTAAGCATCCCTTCCAGTGCTGATTGGTGACATCATGTTGGTAGTTTGAAATTGGCCATGATGAGAATATTTACACCACAGAAATGAACAAATGTTAAAAGTTAGGGCCTTTAGGCCGGGGATTTAGCTCGGTGGTTCCGCCGCCTGCTTCGCATGCGCAAGGACCTGAGTTCGATCCCCGGTACCAAAAAAAAAAAAAAGTTAGGGCCTTTTCATTGCCATTATTGTTAAACATTAGCCAGCCAGGGATTTAGCACAGTGGTTCCAGCGCCCGCCTTGCAAGTGCAAGGTCCCAAGTTCGATCCCTGGTGCCTAAAAAATAAAAAAAAATAATTAAAAAAACATTAGCCAGCATACCATGCACTACAAGCAGATTTGGGGAAACAAGAATATATCCTTTTTGAGAAAAATTGGTAAATGAGGGATAATGAGGCAGAAAGGTGGGGAATGAATTCTGGTAGCATCCAGAAAAATCTCAGGAAACACTAAATGTTTCTGATATTAGAAAGAGAGGAGTCTCATCCCCACGCATCCTTACACCTTGTTGGGCATCCTTTTGGGCCCCTGGTATGGACAACATATGGCTGAGAAACACCTCTGGGGCTTTTAAGCATAATTACATCTGCCCTAAATGTGGTACTATAGCAGACACCTGGCTACTTGGGCCAAGGACTGTCAGAAAATGTTGGTCAAAAACAATCAAGGACTCCTCTAAGTCAACAGTAGCCATGCAGTTCAGAAGGTTGCACAAAATAGATTTCACCAAGAGCTCAAGAGAGGTGGGGAATTGTGTAGCTTGAGAGCATCACAGATGTCTGAGATAGTTATGACAAGAAGTGAAGTATACTTATTTTAATGGACTCTGGGGCTTCCAGGAAGAAATGAGTAGGACCTAATGAGCCCTGGTATAAGTCAGTGTTCCCATACTTTGGGAGCTCCTTGACCTGGGCTCAGAGATGACATATACTCCCTGGTAGCAAGAGAGATCAGACAGTTGCACATTCTTGTGTGAAGGGGTGAATAGCCCCTAACTTTTCTTCCTGAAATCACTTGCCCAGAAAAGGATACTTATTGACTGGCATGGAGTAACAGGACAGGGCCTGACATTGCTAACTGCAGAAGACCAAAGTAAAGCAGCAGGTGTTGGGCCTTCAGCTATAGAGTCTCGGGGTTTCATGGGCAGAAATTACCAATGGCAGCCACCAGGTTTTGGACAAGGTTTCCCATCTACAACTCAGAGGAACTGTTTTTACTTCCCTCATCTCCGCAGACAAGTTTGCGTATAAATTGCTGGGCATGGTGGCACATGCTTGCAATCCCAGAACTCTGGGAGACTGAGGCAAGAGGGTTACAAATCCGACCCCTGCCTGGACAACTTAGTGACTCGGGGAGACCCTGTTTCAAAATAAAAAGTGAAAAAAGGACTGGGAATGTAGCTCAGTGGGAAGGCCTGGAGT